TAAATGTCTTTTTTCGGTGGACAACGTTAATGACATTGACTGTATCTTAACAAAATTATAGTGTACAAGTTTGAAGCCATTATTTTTAAGAAAGCGACATTACATTCCCCACATGAACCACACTTCAATCGAAATTCATTGTATATGATATAACGCAGTGTAATTCAATACACCCTTCAATAGTAAGGAATAAAAACAATGCATAAAATATTTTTTTGAATTTCTTTTTAATATTGCTAGTGGTATATTGTATAGCTTTTACGATTCCCAAAAAATTCTTGGCTCAAATAATTTACAAACAAACAAACAAAAAAAAAAACAAAAAAATTCCACACTCGAGAAAGGAAGGCTGTTCTTGGAAATACAAATTTTCTCCATATTTACTATACTCTTTTTGTATTCTTCTCTACTCCTCTTTTTAATGTTGCTGTTGGTATATCCTATAGTTTTTACGACTCCCAAAAAATCCTTTGCTCAAATAATTTACAAACAAAACAAAAAAAGCTCCACACTCGAGAAAGAAAGGCTGTTCTTGGAAATGCAAATTTTCTTTCTTATTTACTAACTCTTCTTGTACTTCTACACCATGTTTTAACGATGTCTCAGCGTTGTCCAAGTCTCCCGCCTTTTTGGCATGTCAATTAGGACAAGAAGAAATTGATTAGAAAATACTGCGTAATGATTGGTTATTACTGTAAAGAGGTCTTTTTCGTCTCCCGAGGGTATTCATTTAAACACTGGTCGTTAGAGCTACGCGTCTTTTGACAGACTTTCATTTGAATATCAACGGTCATTGATCCGTTGAGGTCTGCCAACGAAAAGTTGAAAAAGAAAGTTGTGTTTTCAACAGCTGTGTGCGTTCTAAACAAGTAAACAAGAAACTAAAGTGCGAATATAGTACAAATTTGCGAAAAATTAGTCAATATTTGGCGATGTAGTTGGCACAAGCCAAAGAGCTTGTTGTTTACATTATACGAATTCAGAGCCGAACTTTTGTGTGAAAGTTGTTTGGACTCCTCGCAATGGCTGAAAATTCAACCATAGCCGCAGATGTCTACGGCGGCGATTCCAGTTTACGTCCAAACAGGTCGCCACTTGAGGGAGAACTTGAAAGACTCGAAAATGATATCATTAAGGTAAATACAAACACGTTTAATCTCTTAAAAGGTGCACATTATGAAATCATAGCCGAATTGGTCTTGTTTTGTGGTCACTTTTGAAGTTTTTATGAATGATCCTTTAATCTTATTTCATTCTTGATCAATTTTTACACTTTCTTATCGCATAATAATCTAAAATGCTCATTCGATTTTCTCAACTTCTTTTTCCTCAAAAGAACATCTTTTTGCTTAGCCAAAAAACCGTTGAACGTTATATAGATCCATCCGTCTTAATGAGCAATAAAATAATATAAAAATACGAGAGCAGGAAGAGCGGGAAAACTTTATTTAAGAAACGCATTTCTATGGRAAAAAAAGCTGAAATGCTTCATTGAGCTGAAAAAGTTCATTCTCTTTCGAAACCTTTCAAAGAAAGAGAGCATAATTTAATAATTCATGCGCAAATATAACGTAGACATTCAACAATCAAAAAAAAATATGCAAGAGCAGAAAGAGCTTGAAAACTGTATTTGAGAAACGCATTTCTATGAAAAGAAGCTATTGCTGAAAAAAGTCCATGTTTTTTAGAATGCTCTGAAACATTAAGAGCTTAGTTTAAATAATCTTGCGCGTATATAACGTAGACATGCAACCATAAATAACCGCTTTTGTCTCTATTGTTGGTTTTGAAATTATTGCGATATCCCTCGAGTTGAATAATTTCGACGTAGCAGCTATGTATTGGATGGTATAATATGGACAGCTGGGTTTAGTTCGGTGAGCTCACCAGATGTCCTCGTTTCAAGAATGATTTATTGAGCAACAATATGATAATTGAAAATATGTTTGRGTCTTCCAGGACTTTTTTACATAGTATACCCTGAAAAATGTCTAATAAGCTACAAGCCAAAGAACTACTCTGCCATATACCTAATTTATAAACTTACCGTATTTTTCTTAATGCGCGAGAAATGGACTGCCGGTYGATGTATTTAAAGTGCTTTAGAACTTTGTACATCGATGTCTGAAGTAGGTTATTGAATTCAWAAAAGTTGTCGCACACTGACAAGCGAGCGAGAAAAGAACGCGCAAAGCTGCAAGAGCTATTTACTTCYTCAAGCATTCGACGTCTCTTTGAAATGTGGCCAGTATGGTAAATGAGCAGTYTTAAATATAGATGATAAGATGTTGTGCGTCACTTTGGAGGTTGACAGACAATTTTATGCTCTTAATGATCTTTTAAGCTTCGAGGATTAAATTGTCATGTCACGATGAGCCTTTTATGCTAAAATGAACRGCAATTAACCTTCAATGGCCGGAAAACATTAAAAAATATGGTGCTTGAAAACCGTTTGATGTAGCTAAGAGCCAAAGGAGAAGAGAGGTTTATCTGATAGAAGTGTGTGTTATTGAGTGAGGCTTTGCGATTGTGCACTTGGTGTTATCTTCAAGTCCTCGATTTTTTAAACGATGGCTGCAGATATAAAACTCATAGTGAAGTTCCTCCCTTTCTTTCTTTCTTTCTTTCTTTCTTTCTTTCTTTCTTTCTTTCTTTCTTTCTTTCTTTCTTTCTTT